ACTCAGTCTATGACCTCGCCTCATTGAACAAAGGTCTAAACTGAAGGGGTGGAGACCTGGCCCCCCAAGAACTGTCTGCAGACTGAATAATAATACGTCCTACACCTCGATAGCGCCAGCATTATTGTTCACACGGACATAGAGCTGGGAAATGGGACGAGTAAGAGAAAAGTCAAGGGACCAAGTTAAAGCACCGAGTCACACGACTCGGCAGCCAGCAGCACACTTTGGTTCTGTACTCTTTCAACTGCAGTCCTGCTTTCAGAACAAGAACCATTTGGGGAGGGGCACCTCAGTGGCTCAGATGGTTAAGCGTCTGCCTTCAGTTCAGGTCATGATCCCAGGGTCCTGGGATCAATCCCCGCATCAGGCTCCCTGCCAAGCAGGGAGCCTGCTTCTCCCTCTCCCTCTACTGTTCCCCGTTTGTGCTCTCTCACTCTCTCAGTCTGGCTAAAGTGTGGGTGACATGGGGGAGGGTGGCAGGAGGAAAGGATGTGGAGGAGGGAAGGCATGTGACTAAGACAATTCCCATGTTCTCTGCTGAAACGTTCCAGCTTTAACCTTCAGGTCCTAGGGAGCCAAGTAACAATTTAGAGCAAAATGATAGTGTCTAGCTCGTTCCTTGTCCTTAAGGAACCTAAAATACAGCCCTAAACCCCACTCTAAAAATGTGAAAAAGTTTGCTGAGGTGGCGGTAACAAATGGGAGTCTTAGGACAGGAGAGATTGAAGTGAATGTGACCCATTCTGGAACACCTCATGGAAAAAAGATGGCCTCGATATGGCAGGATTTGGATGGGGGCCTGGGGAAAAGCTTTTCAGGTGGGGAACTATGTCAACTATGACTTCTCCAGGCCCTCTGAAATTTCTGGGAGAACAAAATGTTCAGGGATTGTCAACAGGTATTTATTGAATTGTTGGGGAAAAGCATTTAGGATGTTTGCAAACTTTAGAAGCATCAGAACTTTCAGAATCACCTGCAGGGCTTGTTGAACTACAGATTGCTGGGCTGTGCTCCAGGACATTCTTCTTCAGATTCTTATCAGGTCCCAGGATCTGCATTTCTGAATGTTCTCAGGTGATGCTGATGCTGCTGTTCCCAGGACTACGCTTGGATCCACCGACTCAGCTAACATCACCTTAAGGAGCACCCTGTTCAGTGGCTCCCAAACTTTCTCAAAATTATCTGAAATCCTATTTAAAAAGACAGACTGCAGTCCTGTGGGATCAGTCATAGCTGGAAGCCTTGGAATACATAAGAATCACTGCGGGTTCTTGCTGGAAATGTGAGTTCCCAGAGTCTATCCCAATTTTAACAATTGCCCACAGGTGACTCATGGAAACCCACACTTTGGTAAACCTTGAACAGGTCCTTAGGACTGCTGATGAGGAGGGAGTGAAGCCGGCCTCCAATTCTCCTTCAATTAGCTTCACTTCACTTTCGTCTGTTTTACCTCCGAGACTTTTTTTTTAAATCACCAATACTATAAATCCTCTGTGCCATTTGATTTCAAATGTATGATCATGATTCCAAATAAGAAATCAGTGTGCCTAGGAGCTACTCAATAAATGTCATCTTTGACAAATCAATGAGGATTCCAAAAATGAATCCAAATCCTGCTTCTTTTCATATATTCCCCTGCTATTTCCAGCATGTGTATAATAAAACATTGTAAAACATTTATGTTATTTGTGCTGGTAGTTGTGGTCTTTTGAGGCTCATGAATGACCTATAGGAAAACACAGAGACCAGTTCAACTACCATAAGCACTGGGCCTGGTTCCAGAATCAGAAGTCTGAACAAAGCCTTTCCAAAAGAGGGGGGAGAAAACCTTCACCCAATGTAGCATTTCACACTTCCTTTTCAGCTTTAGCTCCCTCTAGACATCACGTTATAACGGGAGAAAAGAGATCAGATAAATTCACTGCTACCATGGCATTTTCTTCACCCTAGTTCTGCCAAGAGGGACTTCTGCTCACAGAAGAAACTCACTCTAGGCTTCCCCACTGTGCCTCTCACTTGGGGAAAAAGATGTGTTGTACCAAG